GTTTTAGCTGACAAGGATTGGTTAGTGACTTTGGCTCAAGTAATGTAGCAAGTTTTGGCTCAAGCAATGTAGCAAGCTTTGGCTCAAGTGACGTAGCAAGCTTTGGCTCAAGCGATGTAGCAAGCTTTGACTCAAGCGATGTAGCAAGATTTGGCTCAAGCGATGTAGCAAGCTTTGGCTCAAGCGATGTAGCAAGCTTTGGCTCAAGCGATGTAGCAAGCTTTGGCTCAAGCGATGTAGCAAGCTTTGGCTCAAGCAATGTAGCAAGTTGTGGCTCAAGCGATGTAGCAAACTTTGGCTCAAGTTATGTAGCATGGTTTTCAAAAAGTATAAACGATGAAAATGATCTTAAGTATATTTAACTCTGAATTGTTTACTTAACCGTATTAAAATGAGGATTAATGTATATTGGCATTTATTGAGTTAACGAATTACTCCTGTGTGTTTTCTGTGAATTGTCAATGTTAATCCCATTGCAGGTAGGTGAAGGACTTAAGGATGACTTGATTAGGAGCTTAGAGGCTTTTAGTTTTTGAAGTCCTTATCTTCATTGTTTTGTAATCTAATTGATGGTGTTTTTGAACTGAATATTTGTAATCATGTACACGATATTTGTACATGTTGGTAGTGATGAATATTTGTAACTCTGGATATTTGTAGATATGGGTATTTTGGAATCCCATAGCTAGTTGTATGCGGTAGTTACCGGATGCATTAATGAATTATGATTTTCTGTTAAACGAATATGTGTGCCATTTTTGTCTTATGAAATGAATAGGACTGGGTAAGTGGGATTTAGTATAAGTTATTGAAAGTGGTATTTAAGAGTTATAGGAAAGGTATGAAAAGGGGATAAAATAAGGAAAAAATTTCAAGGGTAAAACTTTGGGTCCTTACATGGAGCTTCTTTTGTTTGATTTTTTTAATTGCACTTTTATTTACTAGTTTAAAATGTACAATAGATAAAACCCTAATAAAAAAATATTTCAAAATCCACAGATCCAGCACAAGCAAGAAAAAAAAAACAGAAAACCAAAAATAATGTTTTTATTTCTTCACATCCTAGATTATGTCCAGGGTCATTAGATAGAAATCCAAAGATTAAAAGAGAAACAAATATTATAACTATCGTATAAACAAATAGTTTTAGAGTAAGCATTACAAAATCTCCAACAATAATAAAAAAACGACAGAGAAAGAGAATAGATTCTGTTATATTACACATTAAGTTTATTCTAAGATAAGAAAGGAAGTGTGTTCGAGGAAATAGAGAAAATTAGAAAATTTATTTGTAGTAAGAGTAGATCCCTTTATTACCATTACCGAAAAAATTATTTCATATCCACAATCTAGGTATTGGTGGTGGACTCAAATCGAATAAAATAATCGTAATAAAAAAATAAGATTGAGATTTCTCAATAGAAAAAACGTAAGAATCGGAAAATAATGAGATGGTCCAGATTTTTCATGTTTATCCAAAAATATCAATATCAATATTCGAATCGAGGATTCACGCTGTTAGACTTATCTTATCTTATAAATTTTTAAAATGTTCAAATTCTTGTTTTCCAATAAATTAAATTCTTAATTTTTTTGTTAGGACATTATTCAAATTAAAGATCTCATCGAAAACTTACAACACCTTGCCAAACAAAAGCTAAGGAAAAAAAATAGAGGTATTACTGGCATAATATCGTCAATTGGATTTAAAATAGCATAGGTTTTGAGGTAATTTCAAATTTATAAAATTCATTGTATTTTTTTATTTTTTATAGAATTCTTATTTTTATTGTATTTTTTGACTTATTTTTTTTAGTATTCCTAATTTATCCAAAAAAAAAAGATTTCTTTTATTTGAACTTAGCCAGTTAAAAATAAAAAAAAATCATTCTTAAATGCCAAAATTGAAGAAATATAATCATACTTTAATACAGTATCTTAATTGAATTCTATGTAAAGATCAATAATTTCATTTAATTAAAATTATACATCTACCCATAGTAAGGTTCTTTCTTGACTTAATTACATGGATAAAGCTTTTTATTATTAAAATTATAAATAGAAAAGGGGAAGAAATAAAAAGCGGAATACCAGTTTCGAGTGATCTCATACCCTCTTTCTTCTTGTTGTAGATATTAGAATAATGGAAACTCCTACTACTAAATCTAATGGATTAAAATGAAAGTAAAAAAGTAAATGACATTCTAAGGTTACACTTTCTTCTTTTCTTCTAAACTGAAGAAGGAAAATAGAACAAATTCGATATAATAAATCTGTTGATACAAAATTAATACAAAACTATAATAATCTAAAATTAAGATGAAAATAATCTAATTAGATTGGTTTACTCAACTGACGAGTTGTTCAATGAATCTATTGGTTTGGAATCATAAGATGAGTAAGTATCACAAATGATGAATTGCTTTATTATATACGTCACTCTATTTTCCTTCGTTGGTAATTGATGAATAAAAAATATTCAATTGTACCTTACAAATTTGTTTATTTTACTAGTTTTCTCCTCAAAATGGAAACTCAGGAAAATGCTTTATAAACATATATATCTATGTATAAAAAAAATTCATTTAGCTTTTTTATGCCCACTATAACTAGTTGTTACGGTTTTCTACTAGCGGATTTAACTATAACCTCAACTCTATTTATTGGTCTAAGTAAGATACGACTTATTTGATTTGAAATGATAAAATGAATTGAATTTATTTTAATATTCTAGATATTCCACAGTTTCTTATCGTGTCCTTTTCCAATTTCTTGGTCATTGGTATTCATTGTAACGTCCCAATTTATTTTCACGAAATTTTTTAAATTTTCTAGAACATATTCTTCCCAATTGTAAATCCTTGAAATCATTTAAATTAATCTCCTAAAATTCATTTAACGATTCACGTGGATAAGATATAATAAAACTAAAAAAGGGAAGTATTCCCTACATTAAAAATCCATACACATCTAGTCAATTATCTTAACATCAATACAGAATGAAATCCCCACATATGGGACTAGAGTTAACAATATCTTAATGCAAAACTAAACGGACAGCAACGCACGGAATCCAAGCAAGCTATTTAACTCCATAACTCTGAAATTCCTTATTCCTTTGCTTCACCTACAATCCAATTACCATGGATTGAGAAACAGAGAAACATAGAGGGAGTCAGACATTAATTCATGCAATAAATGACATGGTGGATTTAAATAGAATAATAGACATTGGTACTTAAAGAAAAAATACATTTAATCATTACATTATCATTTCATGAAGAATATAACCAACATATACATATTCATCCCTTCTAAACCAACATCAATATTACTTCAATTTACAACGCCGTTTAAGACCATCAATACCACACGGGCAAGTCAATACCATTTAAGGTAATCCAATACAACGATGGGCAAGTCAATACCATTTAAGGCGATCCAATACCACGATGGGCAAGTCAATACCATTTAAGGTAATCCAATACCACGATGGGCAAGTCAATACCCTTTTAAGGTAATCCAATATCACGATGGGAAAGTCAATACCATTTAAGGTAATCCAATACCATGATGAGAAAGTCAATACCATTTAAGGTAATCCAATACCACGATGGGCAAGTCAATACCATTTAAGATAATTCAATACCACAATGGGCAAGTCAAGTCTATACATCGAAGAGCAAGTCAAATCTATAGCACGAAGGGCAAATCAAATCTATACCATGAAGGGCAAGTCAAATCTATACCACGAAGGGCAAACAAAATCTATACCACGAAGGGCAAGTCAAATCAATACCATGAAGGGCATGTCAAATATGTACCACGAAGGGCAAGTCATAATAACAGTAAATCAATAGCATAAAATAGGACTAACATGGTTAAATAGGAAACCTTTGGCTTTTCCCGTTTAATCATTTTAGTCGATGGAACCCTCCAACTAGTGAGTATCGTTGGAGTTTCCAATGTTATTTTCTACAACCACAAGGTCTAATGCTGCTCTCTCACCTGAATATCCGTTAGCTTTTGTGTTACGTAACCTTGTCAAGATCAATGCCGTTTCCTCCAACCTTAGGGTCTTTCGACCCCCAAAAACAACAATAACCACAATATATCATTTTTCATGTTAAAACAACCACAATGTCATACAATACTCGAAATTTCTCAAAGAAACAAGGTTAACACTATCCATTTCACTTCACTATCAAAAAGGGGTTCACGACAATTCAAATAACTCAAGGGTTTTGAAAACAACATAACTCACATACCATTTTTCGAAAACAACTCATAAACTATGAGTTTCACAAGGTTTACAAGACTAAAACGAACCGAACCTCGAAAGAGGCTTTATGGGGTTTTACCGAACCATAGAGAATAGGCCCATCTCCCCTAACCAAGATACACTATATTAAGGGAATCTAAATTAAACGATTTACCTCTTCCCAAGCCTTCTCTTCGTCTCTAAGAGCTCACAAATCGCCTAGCCGCTTCTCCTCTCCTTTGTTTTAAAGAAAGTGTCCCAATTCTCAATTGGGACTTCTATTTTAGGTTTCAGATTATCGGGTTCTCGCTCGAGTGAGAATGGCTCGCTTGGGCGAGAAACCCACGACTTTTCACATTTTGAAACACTGATGCTCTCGCCTAGGCGAGATTCTCTCGCTCAAGCGAGAATCTCACTGTCGGCTCAGGTCTCTATCGCTTGGGTGACTACTCCCTCGCTTGGGTTAGGCTCTGAAAACGCTGACATTGTAAAACACTGAGTCTCTCGCTTGGGAGAGATCCTCTCATTCAAGCGAGAATTGTCCGGCTAAAACCCCAAAATTCCCAGTTTTCTAATTAATCTGAAAGTGAAATTGGAGGTGTTACATTCATGGTCAATACAGATTAGATTAATATTTAAGGATAGATATTACCACCACCTTTCCCTTTCAAAAAAATTCAAATGATTGAAGTTTTTCTCTTTGGAATCGTGTTCGATCTCATTCCTATTACTTTGGCTGGATTATTCGTAACTGCATATTTACAATACCGACGTGGTGATCAGTTAGACCTTTGATCAATTAACACCTCTTTTGTTTATTGACCTACTATTTCTTTGTTTTAATCCTAATCCCAGAGGTCAAATTCAGACTTTAGACTGTGGTTCAAATATTTCGCAGTGTCATTATGTCTGGATCTAACAAGAATTGAATCACGCTCTATACGATTTGAACTTACGACATCGAGTTCTGGAGACCCACGTTCTACCAAACTGAACTAAGAGCGCTTTATTCTCATAAATAATTTTATGAGACCCCAATACATCTTGCATGCATATACTATATCAATATATCACAATATATATTGTGATATATTGTTACTGTTCATAGGATAAGTAATATTTTGGGATGACAGGATTTGAACCCCTGACATTTTGTACCCAAAACAAAAGCTATACCAAGCTGTGCTACATCCCTCTCAATTGATTTTTCAGTGTCAATGTAAAGAATCTTTGTCGTGTTTTCAATATTTATATATATATATATATATATATCAATTATCATGTCTTTGTTTTTAGTTTCCTATCTATATAAGGATAATAAGGATATGATATATATATAGTGTATAGAATAAGAATAAATAATATTTATAATAATAAAAAAATAGGAATTTACCTAAACCGAAAATATATTTTCAGGGACTGGACTGCTCGGGCATAACTAGACTTATTTTTTTATATAGAATGAATTGTTGTACATTTCAATTTGAATTTGGGATTCTGCCAACAAATGCAAGTGGTTATTGAGTTAATAACAATCTAATCGTATTCCTCTATGTGATTATGGTTCGGGGCTTTAGCGGGTCTCTTCGTAGAGATCAACCGTTTATTCTCGGATGCATTGATATTCTCGTTTTTGTCATTCTAGTTATTGGCATAGGAAGGGGTGAATAAGAATCTAGATCCAATCAAATATCTATTAATTCAATTCCTTTTCTATTAATAAGAGAGTAATAATAGAATAGAGTGGGACCCGAAATTTAAATGAAATGGCTGGGGTGGGGTCAAAAATATCATAATCATAGAAGATTAGTTCGAAGTTATTGTATTAATTAACTGAATTACTATTGTACACTATTTATATTAATCGCAAGGAAATCTTCCATAATTTTATTTCGCATTATCAACTTCTCCTTTTACCCTTTATTTTACTTCTTCTATTCCAAAAATCGAAGAGTTTAAAGTGAATAAAAAACCCAAAGGAGGTTCACGGCCAATGGTAAAGATATTCGAGTAGCGGTTATTTTGGAATGTACTAGTTGTGCTCAAAATAGTAGTGTTAATAAAAAATCAAGGTTATTTCTAGATATATTACTCAAAGAAATCAACACAATATGCCCAGTCGATTGGAATTATGAAAATCATATTCCCGTTTTTGCAAACATATGATTCACGCAGAAATAAAGAAATAGATAAAATGGATAACTTTTGTATCACCCTTCCAAAAGAACATGAAAATGACTTGTTTTTCATATATATTCTATAACTATATAAAAATATATAAATGATTATATAACATAACTACATATATATATATAAATAAAAAATCAAAAGAAAGTAAGAATATAAACAAAACAAATCCTTTTTTGTAAGAAATAGTATTTTCAGGATAGGAATAAACAAATCATGGATAAATCTAAGCGACTCTTTCTTAAATCAAAGTGATCTTTTCGTAGACGTTTGCATAGGATTAAGTTAAGAACATTTTGTTACACATATTTTTTCCCACTACAACCAGTATTTAGGATTTATGCTTGAGTCGTACGAGGTGAAATTCTCATATACGGCTCTCGGGGGGGGGGGGGGGGGGGGGGGAGTCCCTTTGTTTACCTATCTCAATAAATTTTATGATTGATTTGGAGAACGTCTTGAGATTCAAGCGATTCCTAATGATAAAACTAGTAAATATGTTCCTCCTCATGTCAACATATTTTATTGTTTAGGAGGAATTACCCTTAAATGTTTTTTAGTCCAAGTAGCAACATGATTATCTATGACTTTTTATTATCGTCTGACCGTTACTGAGGCTTTTGCTTCTGTTCAATATATAATGATTGAGGCTAATTTTGGTTTATTAATCTGATCAGTTCATCGATGGTTGGCAAGTATTTTGGTCTTAATGATGATCCTGCACATATTTTGGGGGTATCTCATTGGAGGTTTATAAAAAACCTCGCGAATTGACTTGGGTTACGGGTGTTGTTTTGGCTATATTGAACGCATATTTTGGTGTAAATGGTTAATCCTTACCTTGTGACCAAATTGGGTATTGGGAAGTAAAAATTGAAATAGGTGTACCAGAAGCTGTTCCTTTAATAGGATCGTCTGTAGTGGAGTTATTACGCGGAAGTGCTAGTGTGGGACAATCTACCTTGACTCGTTTTTATAGTTTACATACTTTTGTATTACCTCTTCTTACTGCCGTATTTATGTTAATGCACTTTCCAATGATACGTAAGCAAGGCATTTCCGGTCCTTTATAGAGAGTATAGTCTGGATCGTAGATATTTGTAATCGAGCATTTTTCATTTGGGGGAGGAACAATAGTATTTCACTGCTACAAATATGTCTTATTCTTTTAAATAAGACATATATTTGGATATTTCCCTTCAACTATTCATGTATGTAAAATCAAATAGAAAAAAAATAATCTAATTTTGTTAAGTTGAAGGGAATTCTCCGAAGAAACAATGGATTATGGGAGTGTGTGACTTGAACTATTATTGATTGGACCGCGCAGATTTATATATATATATGATTTTATCTGCAACATTTGAATTTACAATTAAATGTGTCTTTGTTCCAACCCCCACGCAAAATCCCCCTATAGATGTAACACCCTAGATTTGAAAGTCTTTAAATTATAGTATCAGTCCTAGGAGTCTCGCTTGAGCGAAAAAATTGTCGCTTGAGCGGAAGAGGCTCACCTCAGAGGATAAGTGTTATTCGAAACTGACTCCAACGCTCACCAAGGTAAGGGATAAGTGTTTCTAACTCATACGAGCTAATGTGAATGAGGTATGTGAAAGAGGTAATATGTTTGTAAGAATATGGTTTTTACCCTACCCGAAGTGGTAGTGGTTTATGGTTATTACCCTACCCGAAGTGGTAGTGGTTCATTGTTGTTATCCTACACGTAGTGGTAGTGGATTATTGTTGTTATCCTACCCGTTGGGGTAGTGAATTTATTGTTGTTATCCTACCGTAGTGTTAGTGGATTATTGTTGTTATCCTACCCATAAGGGTAGTGAGTTTATTGTTGTTGTCCTACCTGGAGTGGTAGTGGATTAATGTTGTTGTCCTACCCAGAGTGGTAGTGGATTATTGTGAACTTGACCTACACGATGTGGTATGGGGAATGAACTCGACCTGCCCGATGTGGTATGGGGAATGAACTCGACCTGCCCGATGTGGCATTGGGAATGAACTCGACCTGCCCGAAGTGGTATGGGGAATGAACTCGACCTGCCCAATGTGGTATGGGGAATGAAATCGACCTGCCCGATGTGGTATGGGGAAAGAACTCGACAAGTGGATTACTTACCTTGTCAATGTGATGAATGCATTTGAATAGACGTGAAACTTTTGGTCTAGGATGATCGGTTCTTTTGCAGTAGGACATTGGCAATGCACGATATAGTGGTGGTGTACACCATTTATCTGCTTGAATGTTGTACGGACAAAAGTTGTTTCTGGTTCATGAGCGTTAGTAATTGCTATGCATGATTGTAGTGTAACCATATGAGAGAAAAGGGTTTTGAGTTATGTCGAAATGATTATGCAAACTTTGTTTTCCGACGTGGTTGCCATGAGTCGTGGGTTCGAGCCATTTTCGAAAATCATTTTTGGGTGAAACATAGCTTGTGGCTAAACATTGATTTAGTATCATGTTGGAGAATCCCAAAATTTTAGCAACCATATCTGGATAAATATGAGGTTGTTAAAAAGTTTGGTGATACGATGATAACCATGTACTTCTAGACGTAATGCAAGTGGATTACTAAATTTATATTTTCTAGCGTAATTGGGGTATCCAATCCAAACGCATGTTGTGGACTTGAGTGTTTGTCAACTTGCACTTGTCGATTTGTAAAAGAGTACCTAGTTTTGGGGCGAATCGGTGGTTTTGTGGGTTCAAGTGAGGCTAGGGATCGGTAATTTCTTTCTATGGTAAGATTTGATGGCGAAAATGTTTAACGTAAGTGGATCATTACTGGATAGTTTGATTGTGTACGAGGGGAGAGACTCTAAAAGTCTTATTTGTTTAGATGTTTTTGTTGAGCGACTACCTGGATTCTATATGGTAGTGCATGCAAAGCCGGGAATACAAAGGTACATTTTGGAAAAATTGTAGTTTTGTTTAATGAGTGAGATGAAATTGTTATATTCCCTTGAGTGGAGGTGAAACTAGCTAGTGCATGTTGGATGTTTAATGAAAGCATTGTAGTAGAGGAGGGGTAAGAAGTTCCCCATTCTCTTGGTTTCGGAATTGTTATTGGGAATCCTCAACGTTTGTGAGGATTGTTAGCTGGATAGGCCAGAGAGACCTATGGTCCTTGATGAATACTGAAAAATCTTTAGACCTATGTTCCCTTATGGATTTGAGTTGTTCGAGATCAGGATCTTAGTATTTGGACCTTGAGGAGATTGTACCTGAATTGGCCTTGTGATATCACGGTTTAGTGGTGTGCCCTTGGAGGTCGTTTAAGTAATCTTATTGGATTAGACGATCGAGTACGAATTTGGTTGAGTATAGAATATGATTAAAGTCTAAGCGATGATATTATCTTCCGAGAATAGCCTAATAAAATTTTCGGGGACGAAAATTCTTATAAGAGGGGGAGGATTGTAACACCCTAGATTTTAAAGTCTTTAAATTATAGTATCAGTCCTTGGAGTCTCGCTTGAGCGAGAGAATTGTCGCTTGAGCGGGAGAGGCTTACCTGGGAGGGTGAAATCTTAGGCTATACTGAAGGATTCTCGCTTGAGCGAGAACCCGACGATTCCACTTTAAAATAGAAACCCCAAACACATTTTAGGGTTATAAATTGAGAGAGAAGAGAGGAGAAGGTGATTTTGAGAGCAAGAACTCGTGGAAATCATCTAGAAACTTGAGAAGAGGTAAATCTCTTGACTCCAACTCTCTTTCTCTCTTTCAAACTCGTTTTTGGGTATATGGATCTCTTCTCAAAGTATGAGAAACCATGGAAACTCTTCCTTTAGAGTTATGGTTCGTTTTATGTTGTTTTTCTTTGATAAACTCTTGGTTTAGAGTTGGTATTTGATGAATGGAAAGGTTTTGTGGGTTTATTCATGAAAATCCCAAAACCCCCAAAATGTGAATATGAGTAAAAAGGGAAATGGGTAAAATGTTAAATGTGGGAGATGAGTTTGTGCTTAAATGTTGATATAGGAGATG